TTGCATAATGCACTCACTTGCTTTCCTCCAGATTTAACTGCCACCACCCCTGGTTTGGGGAAGTGCTCTTCTCTGACTCCATGGTCTTCTGTGGGGCTATGAGCCCCAGCACTCCATGGAACACCAGGTCGCCAACCTGTGACCGAGAATGAGCCTGTTATAGTGCCAGACTCCTGGCCTTATTACTGACCTAAGGAGTAGGCATGTGCTTCAAGGTAGACAAAATCCTTTTCTGGAATTTTCTGAATTGGAGATCAGGGAGGCTCTTCCTTTTTTTTTCTTAGATTGAAAGCTATAAGGACATGTATTAGTGAGCTTCTTATATTTATGAAAAGAAAGAATTTCCTTCAATTCACATTCCTAGAAGTTTCTGTCCAAGACCAAAGGCCTTGCTCTTTGGGTCTCTAGAGAGAGTGGCATATCATGTAGCAGTGAGGTGAGAGGCAGACCACTTACCTCATGAGCCAGGAAGCAGGGAGGATGGGGTCAGGGTCCTACCATCCCTTGCAGTGGCATGATCCCCAGTTGCCTAAGGAGCTCTTACTATATTCCACCTCTGAAAGGTCCACAGTACCTCCCTATGGGGCCACCCTGGGGACCATGCCTGTGGCACGTGGACCACTGGGGGATACTCATCCAAGCCTTAGTTAGATGCGACTCCTGAAAGGCTGGCAGTCACTTCTCCCACTGTGGCAGACACTTGATGAATGCCAGAATTCACTTTCAATAAAAGAGTTGCTACATTTGCTAGAAGAATTGTTGACAGACAGAATTTGGCTATCAGCCCATGGATTGCCTCAGCTGTAGACAGCCACCTTGTCCAAGGTCAGCCCCTTCCCTGGGTGGCTCATGTCCAAAGACTGAATAAAGTACAGGTGTAAGCATCTGGCTGTCTCAGTCCAGAGCAAGACAACTCATAAAGGACTTTATGTCAGCCCATGTTGTTACTGTGCGTGTCTCAGCTTGATTTATGGGCCAGTTTGCTTCCTGCTCTTCTACATATATTAATCCTGAGGGTAGGTCTTAATAAGCATGCTGAGCATTAAGTTCAGCCTGAGGGTCTTCTCTCCGGTGATCACCACCTGAAACACCCACTACACGGAGGAACTTGAAAGAATGAAATCAACATATAAAGAGAAACTAAAATTAAAGAGGGAGATATAGAGCAAGAAAACTGGTTTAATGCAGTCATCCATGGACCAGCTTCAATCCTGACATCCTGCACTTTAATCGTGTGAGCCAATGAATTTACATTATTAAATGTTGTGGCTTGAGCTGGCTTTCTGACATTTACAGCAGAAAGAGTACTGCAAAATACAGAAATGATATCACACTGAACAGATCATTTTGAAGTATTAGATTAAAAGATTGCCAGGAGGTTCTTTTAAGATAGTGCATACAAGTTACTTAACTTTCTGTACCTTGCTCCTTTGTCTGTAAAATGCATACTTTTACCTATTTCATTTGATTGTTATGAAGAATAAGTCAACTAATCACTTCAGACACTGGCTACCGCATCAGCTGATTCTCTTCCTTTACTCAAAATCAGTGCTATCACTTTCATGCCAATCTCGAACCTGTGACTTTTAGACAAATTCTTTTTTTTTGCTTTGTGGGTTAAGGGTGCAATTGGTACAAGACTGTGAAGATTATTTATTACTGTGCATATCATTTGTTGATTCTCATGCCTCAAGTAATAAGCCAGTAGTACAACTGGGAAAAGCAGGCCTTGGGTAAAATTGCTGAGAAAGCCAGAAGGAAATGGTGCAGACCACGAGGAAAAGCTTGCGCCTTGTCTCAGGTGGGCAGCCACTTAAGCACAGTGCTTGTACAAAGGAGAATTTGCTAGTGCCAAACCTGACTTTCCAAGGAGTAAAAGTCTGGACTTTATGAAAACATCATCTTTGCAATATGAGAAAAAAAGTAAAGACTAAACAAAACGGATCTGCTGACCACCAGCTTGAGTCTTCAGTTATATAATATTTATAAAGTATTAAATTATTTAACAGAATTTTTCTGAAAATAATAAATCAGGATGAGTTTTATAAAATAGTATCTGTACTTACAATGAAAAGCAGCAATCCTTTGCTCCATCCCTCTCAGAGCTATCCCAAAAGAAAAGTTAAATTATCCTACTTCTTGAGTTACCAATTGCATATATTTGAGAAATTGCCTGATTATTACCATGGTACATAAATATTTGGGTTTATTATACTTTTTTGTTTCAACCATAGACGTCTCCAACTTTCTTTTCCCCTAGTCATCTAGTTTCTTTTTTTAACATTATGGAAAGCTGAATCAGCTGGGATTCAATCAAAACCACAAGTTATTTGATCAGAGAGAATTTACAACAAAGACTTTTAAACTGTGTTACTATTTTCATGGATAACATTTTTAACTGAAAGGATAAAAAAGGACTCAAAACACATGTTCTCTTAATCTTGATACCAATGTTATACTGGGTCAAATAACTTTTGTTGTGATGGCTGCTCCTGTGTTCTAGGATTCTCTGCCCAGGAGATACCAGTAGTACTCCCTTCACTTCCTTTGAATTGTGACAGCTAAAAATTCTTACCAGCTTTTGCCAAATGGCCCCTAAGAAGCAAACTTGGGCCTGGTCAAGAACCACTGCCTTAAAATATGACAAAGGCAGTACCCTTAGGGAGCAGCTACAACTCTTCAGTTTAGCAAAAATACAGAAGTTTGGAATTACTGAAACTAAGATTGCAGGAGAGGACATTAACTCCTCAGACCTCTGCTGTACTGGGTGTCTGAGACTGACACCATGAAACTGGTTCTGTAAGGCCTGCAAAACCTGCAAACTTGATTATACTGCTGCCCAGAAAAGAACTGCTGCTTACTGAAACAAGCAAGTATGCTGCACGAGGCTCAAAAAGCCAGTCTGCAGGAGCAAGTCACTCTTCCTCCTCTCATCTTGCAGCCTTCCTGGAGTAACTTCAAGGCAGAAGCTAGCAGCAAGCTGATTGAGTATTTTTGGAACTCAATCTGAGGCAGCACAGAGAAAATGAGAGAGAAGACAAAGATTAGAGAGGCCTTTAATGTGGGCACGGGAGAGTTATTAAAAAATATAAATGCTCTCAGTGAGAACAAAGAAGTGAAGCTACTTTTATCATTTTTGGCTGAGGGAGGAGTTTGGGAGGTAGGCAAAATGATGTATTAGAGGCTGACTCGAAGGAGCATCTGCTTGTGTAAAACAAGAAACAGAAAGATTTACTGGGGCTGGGAGTGGAGTGCTGGGGTGGCTGTGAAGTCCTAGGATTGGAAAGGGCTCGACTCATGCACAAAAAGGGGGTGGCAGGTTTGCCTCCAGAAGGAGGAGAACATGCAAGTTACTCTTGGAAAGATAAGTTGTTTCTCTGGGTCCATTACCAAGCTGGGTAGATGTCATGCCACACATAGTTAAGCCCCAGGCTAGCAAATCTATCACAAGCCAATTTGCACAGCATAGTGGTTTGGGGCTGGAAAACTAATTGGCACAAGTGTGAGGCTTTTCAGTTAAGGTCTTTCACGTATTATTCCTTGTGCTTCTTAAGCTTTAATGTGCTTACTAAACACTGGGAATCTGAGACAAAGTCTGAAAAATATGCAATGGAAGGTCATGGCACGAAGTTTGAGTTGATTCCTTGTGGGCAGCAGACAGCCACTGAATTCAAGATTTAAGGGGTTAAACACATCTACAGACCATATATGGGATGATTTTCCTGATGGCCAATCTTATCATCATGAATCAATTCTTACTGGCTTTGCTTTCAATATATCCTTATTTCTAACCTTGAGGACATTTTTCCTAAACCCATCTATGACTGTTATTCCTAATAGAGTTGGAGGATGCTTCTTCTGGATTCTCAGACCTCACTATGTACAGTCTTTTTGTCTTTGTTGTTGTTTAAGTGTCTCTTTCTCTCACCAGACTATTAATGCCTTGTCAGGGATTGTGTTTTATTGATTTCCTTGCCCACAGTCTAACGTAATAAGTGTTCCTTAAAGGCTTAATGGAAGAATGAACCAGCAGGAAGGCAAGAAAAAAATATAAATGAACTTGGAAACATAATGCTTCCCAATAACAGAATAATTCTCAGATGCCAGAGAAATATTTTAAACATACATACTAGAATTAAATAATATAAAATTAGCAGGTATAGTAAACTCTTTTTAACTATGCATGGATGTTTCTTGAAAATAAATTTCTATGAATGGGTGACAAATCTAGAATATAAAAGCAGATTTGGTTAAATGACAAAATACATAAAAATTATGGACATGGCCAATGTTACATTAGATTTGCTTTTAGATGTCTCTACCTCCATGATAACTCCAGGACACCCACAGAAGTAATTCTGGGTTGCAGATGAAAATTCTAAATTGCTTCTCTTGTTAGATGGTCAACTCATTCTTCTTCCACAGTATTTTATTTCTGAGTTTTGCAGAGCTTTAACTTTGGCTCCAGGTTGGTAGAATCTGTGTCTCCAGCCTCTTCTCTGGACTCTTTATCCCACAATTACTTTCATTTCTCCCCTACAGCTCAACAGTGCTTAACATTCTCAGGGTTCTCACCAGATTGCCCCAGGGAACCTGAATGATTAAAGTTTTTTTTATTGCGAAAACATAGCTTTTGGGGTCAAGCAGACTGAATTAGATCACATTTTCTTAACTCTGTGATCTTGGAAAGTTAGATCCCACTTCACTAATTTTCTGTATCCTTTTCTCTCAGTGATGGGTTGCTCATGGGATTGTTATGAAAATTAAAATATTTTACATGTAAAATGTCAAACTTAATTCTTGGGATCTTAGGTGGTTTCTGGACACTGACACTGAAAGGAACACTTGCAAGCAGGTTCTTTTTTTGAAGGGGCGCCTTCTTTTTTTAAATTTTATTTTGAAGAGAATAAAACCAAATGAAACAAAATATAATAGAGTCAATCAAAACAAAAGGATGAACATGTACATGACTTAAAAACAAAATACAAGGAGATCAACAATGGCTACCATAATGTCTTTTATTATCTTCAAAAGAATTGCCTATACCATCAGGCAAAATAAAATCAAACAGAATAGTATAGAATAAAACCAATAAAGACAAAACAGTGGAAACAGTATAGGCCTTCAAAGGAAGATAATTGCAAAACCACAGTGGGTATCATAATGTATCTTATTGCCTTCAAAGTAGTTGCCTATATCATCAGACATGATATAATCAAACAAAACAAAATAGAATAAAATCATTCAAAACAAAACAATGAAAGCAATACAGGGCTTTAAATCAAGCTAATAGGTAATCAGAAATGGTTACCATAATATACTTTGTTATCTTTGAAATAGCGCCACCCAGTGCAGTTCTCCATGTCTGCTGCTCCCTACCGCCACCATCTCTTTGCAGAGGTCTTCAGGCTTGGCAGCCACCATCGTCACAGTGACCATGCGCCTCCAGTTTCAACAGCTCTTCTGGCAAAGTGGGTCCGGCTCTGGGTGAAGGTGCTACCATCTTCTCCTTTGTTTAAGTTTTTCATTTTTTACTCTCTCTGTGTGCTTCAGTTCTCCCTTTAGGTTCTTCCTGGGTAGAGGGGACCCATTTCCTTCTTTCTTGTCTTCCCCGTGATGCTATACTCCAGCATCTGGACTGTTTCTCTGAGAGAGGCTGTTTTCTCTGCTGCTTTCTGTTCTGCCATCTTCCCGGAAGTCAAGGGGGTGCCCTTATAATGGGGCCCTTTGAGATAACAAGAATGTGAAATGAAGAAACGGGAAAGTGCAGAGAGGAAACTGAGTAGGATGCATAAAATGATCACTCTCATAAGTCAAATGAATCAGTGAACACCACTTGGCTGAAGTCAGTGAGCAAGTTACCTGTCAGCAGCATTCAGCATGATCATTCCTTGCTCCTGGAAAAGGTTTCTTCATGTGTTTTCTAGAACCTTATGCTCTCTTGGTTTTGACTCAATCTTCTTAGTCTTTTTCCCCTCTTTTGTCTTTTTTTCCCCATTTTTGAGAGGGTCCTGTTTTCTGCTTTTAGTATCTTAATGAAATAGTGCCCTAGAGATCCATCTGTTCTCTCCTCAGTCCGTTAGTTGTCCTATTTCATCTTATAACATTAAATACCTTCTATTTGTGCTGTAATCCCCAAATTTATGTCTTCAGCCCAGCCCTTTCCCTTAAACTTGGGACTTTTCTTTTTCTTCTTGTATATCTCACTGGTATTTCAAACTTTAATCTGTTTGCCCAAACATCCCACCTCTATGACCCAACCCTCTCCATCTATGGCCCTCCCCACCTTAAATAATAACATCCCCAATCATTCTGTTGATTATTCCTCAAACCCCATGATCATCTTTGATTCTGCTCTTACTGTCACACCTACATGCAATAAATCCTAGTATATTTATATTAAAAATATAATCAGAATCTGACAGCGTCCATCACTAATCTCTTGATCAATGTAATGTCTCCTTTGAATTGTTACTATTGCGTCCTAATTGGTCATGTCAGTCCTCTGCTTGAGATCTCTTAGTGGCTGCCCATTGCTCTCAGAATGAAGGCCAAAATACATTCAGTGACCTACAAAACCCTGTATGATCTTGCCCTTGGTAGTCACTCTGATCTCAGCTTTGCTTTAGTCCCTCTTATTCATTCCATTCCAGTTTACCTAATGCTCCTTGAACACGGCAAGCATAGCTCTGCTTCAGTGACATCACAGACATTTTGTCTGCCAAGAACATTCTTCTTCAGATGCATGGCTCACTCCTTTATCCTTTTTGACTGCAAATATGTTCTCTACAAAACCTTCTCTGACGATCCAGCTTAAAATTGCTAAACTGTACCCCCTCATTGGAATTTCCAATCTCCCTGCCTTGCTTATTTTGTCCTCATAGTCCCTTACTACAATCAAACACACTAGACACACACACTAGACACTATACTATGAGTCATTTATTTACTATATATTTTTGTTTTTTCTATTTTGTTCAATGAATCCTAGTACCTCCAAGAAAGTCCGTTACATAATTGAGTTTAACCATTATTATTATTATTATTATTATTATTATTATTATTATTGTGTGTGTGTATGTGTGTGTGTGTGTGTCTTATGCTGGGATCAAAGCTAGGGTCTCACATATGTTAAATAGGTGCTTTACCACTTAGCTGCAAGTCTAGTACTAATGAGTATTACTGAATGACCCAAAAGTAATTATATAATTATACTTAACTAGAACATCTCCTTGCAATTATTATTATTTTCACAGAGCCCATAGTTTCAATATTTTTGACATAGTTTAAGACTAAAAATTGTGGTTAGATGTTACTATCTCCATTATATTGTCATTTCAGTTAAAAAAAATTCACACAGGCATTTTCTGCAGTTTTAAAAGTACCTGTTCCTTCTAAATTTGCACAAAAAAACTCCTTGTCTGTACCTAAAAATTGTCAAAAGTGCAAATTCAGAAACTAGCCTCTGTGAGTCAAACACTTAAGCAATATGGCCTCACATAAGGTTGTAGGATCAGGTTACCATGGTAACCCCTACTCATCTTCTCTGAGCTTAATTGTTCATTTCTAAAATTGCATGCTCTTGAGGTTTAGTATCCTTCAAACTCTGCCAGGCCTCAGCTGGCAGGGAATTAAATAATGGCATTATTAGTCATCATAATTATTTGCTAATGATAATTTATATTTAGAAATATGAGAGAATATTAAAAAAGTAGGACACTTTATGTTTTAAAAAGTTATGTTAAATTTTTCATTAGTACATGCTTGCAGTACATAATGATTACATTCATCATGAGGAATTGGTGTGTACGTAACAAGTCTTAATTCCTTTGCTTCCCTGTTCCTTCCCCTCCCTACTCCCTTAAGAGGGCTTTTCAATCTACCTAATGCTGCTTTCAGGATGGTAATTGATTCTGCATGTTGTAGAAACATGCAGAATGTACCGTGCCCTATCACGTACCTCTATCTTTCAATTTTTCTGTAGTTCAAGATAAGAACTCACTGAACTTTCCTTCTTGATTTTATCTTTTAGAGCACTCAACCGCAGGAAAAAAGATGTGAGAAAATATATGGTTGATATAATTTAAGTTGTGGGCATTGAAAGATCTAGATATCAAAAAGAAATGAACCAATAATAAATTCTCTAAATTCTTCATTATTTGGGAAAAGAAAAATAACCTTCATTTAAAAATAAATCTGTAGTAGCTCAGGTAATAAAAATAAATGGAGACCTTTATATAACACTTTCCATTTACAGAAACTATTGGGGACTCAGTGAAGAGTCCTAATTGTCTGTATTAAGGGTATAGAGAGGAAAATTACAAACAGAGACAAGTTTAGTAACACATGATGATTGGGAAGTTAGTGTCTCTCGATAGGTCCTCCTCACTCTCCTAAGCAGCCACTATTTATTGGGTATATACAATTATAGGCAGGGCTAGCAAAACATTCCAATTCTCCGAAGACTCAGAGGCTTGTAAGTCTATGAGCAAGTATAATCCTGGAGTGACTCAAGACGGCATAGATGATCACATGCTAAGAAGGAATTTGTGCTAGAGTATAATCCTATGATGACCCAAGAGGGTGCAGATGGTTTTATGCTAAGAAGAATCTTGTCATGTAGTATAATTCTATGATGATTCAAGAAGGCATAGATGATCTTATGCTAAGAAGAGTCAATGGGAAATCTCAGATGGGTGGTACTGATAATCCCAAACCCCCATTTTATCCCCATACTTAGGGAAGTATGCAAAATTAGCCATTATGAATTTGTGGTCCCTAACAAGAAACAATACTATAACTTTTAGTACTCAATTTTCTTACCAGTGAAATAATTTATTCCTGGTTATCATTCATTCCATTCATTTCCTGTTATATTTATATTTCTTAAATGAAAAAAAACTCTACTAGTTCCATTCTCTGTCCTAGTTTTAAGTGTAGTTTCAAAAATCCTAGAGGAAGGAGAGAATTAGACCAAATCAGTGACAATGGGCATTGGAGTGGAGGGGTATAGGCTTCAAAATTAATTACAAGATGGAATCCATTTGTGCCTGGTTATGGGATGCCTTGTTTCATCCCTGCTGCTATAACAATATGAGTAATTTATAAATAACAGAAATTTGTTTCTCACAGTTCTGGAGGCTGAGTAGTGCATGTTCAGACACCAGCAGATTCAATGTCTGCTGAGGGCCTATTTCCCAAAAGTAGCACCTTCCATGTGTCCCACATAGTAGAAGGAGAGGCCAAAGGGGCAAATGAGCTCCCTTCGGCATCTTTTATAAGAACACTAATATCATGTAAGAGGATTTGACCTTCCTGACCTTGTCACTGGCCCAGAGCCCCTCCTCCTAATACATTTTCAACATATTAGGATTACATTTCGGTGTATGGATTTTGGAGGGAGACTGCAAATCAAAATGGTCACTTACATGAGGCTCCATTTCATCAAACATAAATTAGGTTTTCATCTGACTTCCTCAACAAAAGGGAGAGATAACAGTCAAATTTCTCAGTCAAGCCAGCTGCATAGTAATAATGTTCCCTCTACTTTAATCTTTGCATTTTTAAATCCTTGTAAAAAAGTAACCTGAATGCCACACTTGGTATTAACCTGTCAGTTATTTTTCTCTTGTTCTGTTTCTATATACCCACCATATAAGGTAAGTAACTGTGAAACGACCTATCGGCTTTTTTATTATTTATTTCTGTTTTTCCCAGCCTTCCTCTGTCTATGAAAACCTCTTCTACTCAAACCATCTGAATACTTATTCTGTTTCATAGAATGAAATATTGCTCAATTTTAGAATGGAAAATAAAATCAATTAACATCTTTAAGCTAAACTGTTTTAATTTTGTTCTTTGACAGAAGTCAAGGGGTGAGAGTTTTAAGGGCAGAATACTCAGTGATGCCAAATGCTGTAGAAAGCAGCTATTTAGGGAACTGAAAATAATCTACGAGTTTGGCAATTAGGAAATCGCAATGACTTTGGATAAGCCAGCTTTATGCCTTCAAGTTACAGAGTAATGCTTGATCAGGGAGGGATAAGGACAGAAATCACTTGTGTTATGGGACAAAACTGGTGGGGGGTTGTTATAGGATTCAAGTTTTCCTCAGTCCAAAATATCTAATATATGATATATATAATAATATAAAGTTTATATTGAAATTATTTGTTGGGTTTTATATGTGTACCTGTGTATTTTTTTTTTTTTTTGGATGTTAGGGACTGAAAGTACTTTATCATTGAGCCAACGTGCCAGCCCCTACTTACAGGTTTTAAATTTAAGTGTGCTAATCAGCTTTTCATTACTATAATTAAATATCTGAGGCCAGCTATGGTATAAGAAAAAAAAGTTATGTTGGCTTATGGTTCTGAGGTAGGAGATTAGGGTGGGGCAACACTGATTGAACAAATGGACATAATTTATCAGTGAAGGAGACACAGAACACAGAATGTGAATGACTATGGCAGGTCCCAAACCCTGTACTAGAATTAATCAGGGCAGGGTCATTTTCAGTTCTTCATTTACAGCTGACACAAATGCCTTATTTGCATGAAGAAGAAGCAGTTCTGGAAGTGGATATAGAAAGAAGCCCTGCCATGACCCTGGGAGCCACTGGGAACCGTTTCACCAGCCTCTGCTCATTCTGCAGAACATATTTCTTTTCTGCCCTCAATAAATGTAAATCTTCACTACTTTTTCCACATTGTGTCCAGTTATTTG